ATCAGGGTGCAATGCGACTCAATGGGTTAATTAACCTGCAATATTATTATGCATTGTAGTTACATACTGTACAGTGCCTGATGCAAGTCTTGACCCACACCAAAGTTTTATTTTTAGTACCGGTATCCAATCAAAATGTGCCAGGCGAAATGTCAAATTATTTCACATAATTTAACAACAAGCTAAATATAGTTACAATCACTATTTAATCTATCATTATTTAATTATATATAGCACTAACCAAAATATCAAAAAAATACATTAAATATGGCAATGCTAGAAGTAGTCGGCAATCAGAGTTACAACCATAAAAGCAGTTGTAGGACACAAACATTTAATAACATGTGACTTTATCAGGTCTTCATTTTTCTTTGCCCGCCAGCTGTGAGAAAAATGAAGGTCTGCATGGGCACAGGTTATATAAATCCCATGTAAACAGAGATGAAATTTGCCTCAATAAAGCAAGCTGTCAAGTTTGGTAATGGGGCTGGTTTGCCTCCAGACAAACAAATCTCTGTAAAGACTGTAAAATGTCTAAAATGTCAAACTACCTCATCCCCCCCCCCACAACCCCAACCCCCTCCCCCCCTTCCTGGTATGAACAGCAGTATCAAATAGACACAAACTTGAGTTATTATGTTAATACATACAAATCTACATTGAACTGAACAATTAACAATGTACTACAATGTAAAATATACATAAATTCCACTTACTTTAGAGCCCTAGTGGCCGTAGTGGGCATCTCACATTCTCACAGTATAAATATACTTCAATTCTTGTGCTCACTGCTCAGTTGAAAGATCAAATTCATTCCAAACCTCGGTAATTAATTCGACTGTAACTTAATTGCTCTCCATCATATTCGAGGGATATTTCTTCGCATTATTTGTTGAATTTTGTTCATTTGCATATAGTGTTTGCATATCCTTGCCGCCATGACTTGAATCGAATGCCTCGTTACGTCACAGTAGATTTTGATTTTGAAATTTGCATCAGTGAACTGATGCGAGCGCCCGCAATCTGCATGCGATGCATCGCTCAGCGGACTAATCTACCGTGACGTAGGGCTCTAAAACAATAGATTTGATGATGTCACAGTAGATTTTACGCGGAAAAGGACTCGGGACCGATGCATTCACTGATGCAAAATGGCTGAAAATCGATGCAAACAAAATCTACCGTGACGTAGGTGATGCATCAGCTTTCTACTGTGACGTCAAAGGATGCGGTAAAAAATAATATATTTTGTCGCGAAATTATTCACGCTTAAGTGTCGCAAAATAAAAAGTAAATAACAGAAAATACTTTTGCGATCGCACGTCGCATATTGGACTTATTTTGACAATTTCGACTGTTATTGAGACAATTTAAATTGGATTTCATCCTAAATAGTGTATTCCCGACATGGACAGTCACATGGAGTCAAGTTTAAGCAAATAGTTGCGGTTTGATAGCTGGAGAGATTCAAAGATATTCTATTACTGAGTGCTTGACTAAGTATTGACGACATATTATTTCAAGCAACATGATTTCTCAATTTTGACCGATGCATTCGCATCGTTGGCATCGGTCTGGATCCGCCCCTGCATCAGACTTATCACTTCGAATCTCCAACGGATACAATCTCTGCACTGGCCTATTCTAAAACTTCGTTCGCCCCTTCTCAACCATCTTAACCATTGCTCCTCTCACAACTCCATCCTTACCCTTAATCAACCTTTCGACCACAGCTACCTTCCAAAACCCACGCTTCACTCGTTCATCAAACACCAATACAACATCTCCCAAATCCACAACTACATCACTAGTTTTCTTCTTACCCTTATGGTACTCTCTAAGATCAGCCAAATACTCTCGCCTCCAACGAGTCCAGAAATGCTCTCTTAACCTTCCCAAAAACCTATACCTCTTGCGATGCCCTTCAACCTCGTCTGCCTCATCATCGTCAACCATCCCCACATCATCAGGCATAGATTGAAGTCGGTAGCCAAAGATAAAGTGAAATGGCATCAATACTTCCACCCCTACCTCGTACTCATGGGTTAACAGTCGTGAATTGATAGTACTCTCGATTTCAATTAAATTGGTCAAAACTTCATCATAGGTTAGTTTTGCCTTACCCAAAATTTTCCTTAATGCTCGTTTTACCATTTCTACCATTCTTTCGAAAAACCCTCCCCACCAAGGAGATTTCTCTAGATTAAAACGCCATTTTATACAATTATTTGCCAAATAACCGCTTAATTCATCATCATGCAAATTCCGCACTAGCTTTGATGCAGCCTTAAACGTTTTCGTGTTGTCTGACACAATCAAACTTGGTCGACCTCTTCGGGAGGTAAATCAATTCAAACACCTCATCAAATTAGTTGTAGTTAGACTTCGAACTAGATCTAAATGAACCGCTCTTGTTATGCAACAAGTCCATAGGGTAATGTAAACCTTTTTTATTTCTTTGCCCTCTTTTATATACAGGGGCCCTGCGAAATAGACTCCTACTTTCGAAAATGGAAGCGATTGTCTTACTCTGAATTCGGGTAAGCTAGCTGCTTCTGGAGCTGTAAATGATCTACCTTCATGTTTTTTGCACACAAAACATTTTCCTAAGATTGTTTTCACTGCTTGCCTGCCTTTTGGTATCCAATACCTACTTCTAACTTGAGCTAGTGTCGCACGTAAACCACTATGTAAAACTTGTCCATGGCAAGCCTTAATAATTAATTCTGTCAACGGGTGGTCTCTAGGCAAAATCCTAGGTTGCCTACCTTCTAAATCGAAATCTGAATTTTTTAGTCTACCCTTACATCGTAATAAACCTTCTTCCTCTACAATTTGAAGCCGGTCAACTAACTGTTCATAATTTGTCTGCCTTCTCAAGCTAACTTGTGCTGCCTTTATCCAACTCGCAAGTGTAGACCTTTTCAGTTCTTCATGCATTTCTATTGTCTCGGCTATTTCGCATGGAACAGGCCACATACTTTGGGGACCTGAAAGCCAAATGGGTCCCTTCCACCACAATTCATTGGCCTTGAGAGAAGAAGCATTACAGCCTCTTGATCCTATGTCGGCCGGGTTTTGTTCCCCAGGGCAATGTCCCCAATGTGCTTTGTCACTTAATTTCAAAATCATCAACCCAAAATCTAGTTTTTAATTCAGTAACTTCATGCCCCAATGCCCTTTGTACTGTGGACATCAATTTTGCCAAGATGAATGCGGACATTAATTCTAGCCTAGGTATTGTTTGTGTCTTAAGTGGTGCAATCCTAGTTTTGGATGTTAACAATTCAACATGAATACAACCATTCAATTAGCAAACAAAATATATTACGGTGCTATAAGCCTTCATGCTTGCATCTGAAAATCTGTGCAATGTACAATTCTGTGTGTTACCAATTAACCTGTAACAAACATCTGTTAATAATGATTTGCTTAATTAGCTTCAAATCTGATAGCCACGCATTCCAATGTTGTTTCATTTCATCAGGTATTTCTATTATATCCCAATCGAGGCCCGCTACACAGATCTCTTGAAACAAAACCTTTACAGTAACTAATATCGGACCGACTATTCCTAAAGGATCATACAGCGCCGCCAAAATACTCAATATGTTACGTTTCGTGGGGATCAACCCTGTTGCTCTGTCGGCAACTCGCGCTAAATCGAAATGAATGTATCAGTTTCACAATTCCAAGGGAGTCCTAATACCTTCTCCAAATGAGTCTCGTCACATGCTTCTAATGCGCATTTTGCATAGGATTTCTCGTCTTCTAATCGTCAGACTTTCTCACCAGTTTCTACCTTATTCTTGCTCTTGTGTGCTTGTATAGCCTTTCTTACTGTGTCACTGTTTGTGAGCCATTTGCGCAGTCAAAATCCACCAGCTAAAAGTGTTTGTTTCACGTCTCTATACAATTCAACGTTTTTTTTATCTGATTGTTCGCCTGAAATTAGATCGTCGACATAAAAGCTGTCCTTTAGCTTTTGCACAAATTCTGGTTTATTAAACGCATAGGAGTCAAGATGGTAGCGCAATGTTGAGTTCAATAGAAATGGCGAACAGTTCACACCAAAAACACGGCAAAATCTATACACACAGCATAATCTTATCGCTGCTTAAATCATCTACCCATAAAAATCGCAAAACATCTGTGTCGGTTTTCGCTATTTCAACATTAAGAAACGCCTTTTCTATGTTGGCTGTGAGCGCTACACATTTTTCTCTAAAGCGCAAAAGAATTTCAAACAACGGTGTTAATAATGGCGGTCCAACATGCAAGCAATCATTTAATGAAACACTATTTTTACCTTCCTTACACGAAGCATCATACACTACCCTCACCTTCGTGGTCTTCGCTTCCTTCCTAACAACTACGTGGTGAGGTAAATAATGAACCTTTTCTGCCCTTTCTAATTCTACAACTGGTTCAATTATTCCTGCTTCTAGCTGGCTACTAATAACTTGGTTATATTCCTCCAAAATATCCGGATCTCGCTTCAGTTTTGAAATTTGGTTTTTAAGTTGTTTTAAACTGTTGTTGTAATTCAAAGGTAAGGGTTCATGCCCTTCCTTCCACGGCAAATGTACTTGATAACGATTACCGTTGAAGCTAATTGCTTCTTTCAAGGCTTCATGCACTTCATCCTCTTCGCATATACCTAGAGTATCAAGATCCCACAACCTATGAACATTGTCAGACATATATGGACTAGAAACATGCTTTTCTTTAATAATATTAACACAACTTACCTGTGCTTTTGTGCCATCTTCACCTTTCCCTTTGACTTGCCCTGAAAGAACCCAACCTAAAGTTGTCTACTATAGTACCGCTCTGAAAGCACCAAAGAAAATCCGAACCAACCAGAATATCTATATCAAATACTTCACTGCTCTTACACACATCCGAGAACCAAAGTCCCCGTAAGTGAGGATATTCCCCCTTTCGCAACTCAATATGCTCATTTCGAACTTGAGCAATAGTTTCAACACAATACGCTTCTATAGTAACCGCTTCTCCCCCTTACAAGATGCAATCTCAAGGTCAAAAACATCTCGCAGCTTATAATCATTCATCGCCTTACTAAACACGCTAATTTCTAACCATTCTTTGCTTTTCACTGGCAACCCCGCAGCCCTTACGACCTTGAAAGTCACGAAAGACTTACGACTCCCCGTATCAAACATCACGTGAATTTGTGCTGCATTTTGAGCACCTTTCAGTATACCTTGCGCAGTTTGCAACATCACTCGACTCTCGGATCGAACATGCATTGTTGGACTTCCATTACTGGCCGAAACATTTCCCTCCCCTTTGGATTCACAAAGAGATACATGGTGGCCCCCTTACTACATATTTCACAATTAGTTTTTCGACGGCAGTCCTTGGATACATGTCCTTTACTTACACATGCAAAGCATCGTCCATATCTACGTGCTACTAATTTTCTATCTTTTACACTACTTACTTTATCACAGCTCTCATGAGCATGTCGTCCCAAGGAATAAGCGCATCTTTCTTCTTCTGATTTGGCTATCAAGGCTGACGCACTTCGAAGATCACCCTTGGCATTGCCGTTTTCAGCTCGTGGTGGTTTAGGTGTCCAGTGTTCTTCCTGCAATTCTACTTCACTCAACAGTTCACTCAATTATAGCTGGCACCACAATTGAAGAGTAACTTTCCTATTCTACGTTAAGAGCTTTCAGTCCACGGTGGTGCGTTTCTGTCGCATCGTACAATGCTTGCAATCTCGAAGGGTCTCGGTCGCTGTAGACTGGTTGAAGCTTCAGTAATTCCCTTATATGCGTCTTTTGTATGACGTTGCTTCACCCATATCTTTGCTGCAGTTGTTCCTTTGCACTCTTGTAATTTGCTGACGTTAAAGCATACCCAGAAATACAATCTCTCGCCTGATCCTTTAATAGTCCACGTAAATACGAGAACTTGTCCACCTCTGATAAATCAGGGTTTTCATCCACCGAGCTTTTAAACGAATCCCAAAATTCTTGCCATCGCTCGATTTTCCTGTCAAACTTTCGCAATTCGAGTTTCAGTAACCTCACGCGAACGGACTTCTGGCTGGATACAGTATGTTCATTTAAACTCGCCCCCCTCACTGTTCGCTTCGCTTTCGCTATTCTTTTGTGGCAGGGATTCTTCCAACAATCGTATGGCAGCTTTTATATCCGCCCTCGATACTCCTGCCTCTTCGATCTCGTTCGCAATAACTGCTTCCTCGGTCTCGTCTGTGTCTTCTAGAACCTTTAAGATGTCGTTATCCAGCGTTTGGATTACTCCAAGTTGCTCTTCCAAGGAGGACTTTCGATTATATAATGTCTCTCTTTCCAATTCAGGATTGGAAAGCAGTCCTTTTACCTCTCCCAGGGTTTTCTTAATGAACGAACAGTGTCCACCGCGCATCCGTTTTTTCCTTTTCAAATCGTCGATTTTTCAATCTCACAATCAAACTATCGCACAATTTGAGGCTGATGCATCAAAAATACTGGAAATGAGGCAGTCTGCTATGGAATCACTAGCTGAAAGTAAAAAAAGGGAGGAGGGGAAAACACAAGAGAAAGATGTCCAATGGATCGAATATGATTGCCTATTTACAACTGAGATATCAAATGGACAGTGAGTTAAAAAGAGAGGAGCTACAATTTAGAACAGGAAGAATTGAATGAAAGAAAAGTACATGATTCCTTCATCACTCACCAAGAAGCTTTAACTAATGCATTAAAAGATACAATTGCAGCTCAACAGAAACAACAAGAACAGTTGATCCAATACATGCAAGTGCAAAATGCTGCACTCATTGACTCACAGCACTTATGCAGAACATTGCTAATAAGGACTAGTATGTTTTTGTACTTCTTGCCATTAACTATGATTATGTTATTTTTAAGTATAATCATGTTGCATGTTAATCCCAAAAGACAAGTCTTGTAGTTTATTTAATAAGCACATTTTTATATTAAAGGAATTTGCCTTGTGTGAGAAATTGCTATGTAACAGTATACGTTTCATAAATAAACAGATGCCTCACAAACACAACATCATACTCTCAAAATTGTAATTGTAATGATTTATACATGGGTATACAAATGCAAGAGTGACTAAATTGGTTAGCAACAGTTGGTATAGAAAACCTAGATTAGGATTACAATCTATAAGATTACGCTCCAGAGACCTCCGCTTTATTTCGAGCATAAATAAGTATTTTTTAAGCTTTTGTACAACATATCCAATGATATGAAAGCTAAAGACCTTGTGCATCTATTTATCATATTTTGGATTTGGATTTATATTGTGGTGTAAAGTTATTTTGGATCGTCTTACCGTATAATGTACATTATTGTTGTGTCACATGCTGCAAAGCTAAACTTTTGGATATTGCTTGTTATATCTTTGGCTTTATTTGTCTTATTTGTATGTATGTAACTTGCTACGTATTCTACCAACGGTGTTTTAACTTTCGCATGTTAATTTGGTCTCATTTGGTTACCTTGTTTGTGTTTTATTAAAGTATTATTATTTTGATGGTGCTTTAAATTTGAATTTGCCATGTTGTGTTCCTAGGCAACAACTTTACGGCAGCATATCTTGGTTCTACATCTTTCAAAACATTTTTTACTTTTTATTTATGTTGTTCTTATCATTCGCTATATTTTGGTATTGTTTTGTCAACTTTGGAATTAAACATTTGACTATCTGCTGTTTGTAGTGTGGCGTTGTGTATTCATTAATATTGTCTACAACAATAAGCTTTTATATTTTTTAATTTACTAGCATGTTATCTATCGGATATTCTCCAAACTTGACTGATGTTTGGCTTATATGAAGCGATATATCTCTACGAAGTTTGATGCCTATACCTTTTATAAAATTAAAATTGGAACGGATTTTGTAATTTTCCAACCGTCATTCTATAAAATTATTATTAACTCCACTCTTGGGGATTTCCCTAGTTTGACCTGTGGTTTGACACTATCAAGTTGCACTATATGGCAGTCAGACGCACCAATTTGAGCTCTGTATTTTCGCTTTAGCAATACAACTTTTATTGTTTTATACCCAATGCCAACGCTCTAATAATATTAAAAACCACCTACTGATTCATTACCTATACCTATGGGAAAGTTTCAAATGCTCTCTTGGTAGCTTTTCAAACCATCATTTGCGATCAATCATGACACTTGTAAATTAACTCGCTATGCATGCAAATTCAACTGCCGTCATGGCTTTCTTATTGGACTTCTACTATTATGTGGAGATCTACTAGTATGCGGAGGCTAGTCATCCCGGTCCTGTAATTAGCAGAAGCCCTATGGTCATCATCAATCCTGTTAAGTGCTTAATGCAAGGAGTCGGAAGAGCTTCAACCGAGACATAGTGACCAATAAAACAACATGCAATCTCAATCTATTTTGTTCCTGTTATAAACTGCCAGATGTCAATATTAGTTGGTCAGATGAATTTAATGATTTCTTGAATAATATTTGCGATCAGCACGAGAATTTATTAATCGTTGGTGATTTCAAATCTACCGAATATATCCTGGGACTCTAATAACAATGCCTTTGGTGCTAATGAAATGTCCTTTGTTGATGCCCTGCATGATCACTATCTATTGCAGATCATCAATATTCCCACTTGTGGCAGCAACATCTTAGATCTTGTTATTACAAATGTACCAGACCACATCGGCATCAACAAGGTACTTTCCCCAGATAAAGCTGCACTTTTCACAGATCACAATGTAATCACGTTTTAATACGCTGTTCGCGTTAAGGCTCCATCCAAAACTCTTCGTTGTATTTATGATTATAACAATGGTGACTTTAACGGTTTGTGTACAGCTATTCACGAGAAAAATCTCTCATCACTGGTGACTTCTGACAATAATGATTATATTAATACTGATTGGCAATGCTGGTCAGACGCATTTATGGCTGCAATTAAAGATCACATTCCAATAAAAAGGCTTAATTTAAGGGCCGTAACCCCTTGCCTTGGATTAATGGAACCATTCTACATTTAATTAAGAAAAACTCAATTTAACAAAAACTTAAAAAATCCCCATTTAATTTAAATCTGGGAGATAAGTTCAGGACACTGCACACTGAAATTAAACGCCTACTACGAGAAAGCCGCGAAAACTTCTTCAGAACTCTAATAACTGACTACAAGTGCAATCCAAAACGTTTCTGGTCGGTATTAAAACATAAGTCTAAGTCTCAAAATATACCAAACAAGATTTCCATGAAAACAGCCTCGGATCTTGTGGACCCACCGTCAAGAACTGCTGCTGATAATCCTGCCGAAATTGTTAACTTGTTCAACAGATACTTTACATCTGTGTTCACCAGTGACAGTTCACCTCACTATGCTTGTAAGCCAGATGATACCCCGAATATAACTGATTTAAATCTAACTGTGTACAAAATTCAAGCTGTCCTTGAAGCGCTGGATGTTACAAAAGCAACAGGCTCAGATGGAATCCCCGCTAGACTGCTAAAGGAAACAGCTGAAGTCATAGCTCCATCCTTGTGCTGCCTCTTCAACAAATCTCTCAACACAGGCACCTTACCTGACGAGTGGAAACTTGCAAATGTTGTACCAGTACACAAGAAAGGCAATGCTGAATACAGAGAATTATAGACCTATATCTTTACTACCCATAGTGTCCAAAGTCTGAGAACGATGCGTACTTAACAACATTAAATGCCACTCCACCAGCTAGTCTACAGTAGTCACGGGAAAGTCATGTACAACCAACCTTATCGAAGCACTAGATAACATCGGCTCCCTCCTGGATAGTGGTAATCAAATAGACGTGATCTATTTAGATATGTCTAAAGCCTTCGATAAAGTTAATCATGAGCTTTTGCTGCTTTCCAAACTTAGCAAGTTTGGATTTGGAGGTGGCCTATTACAATGGTTCCGGTCCTACTTGTCTAATCGGCGACAGCACGTTACCGCCCTCGGTGCTGCATCTAACACCTTACCTGTAACCTCTGGGGTACCTCAAGGCTCCATACTAGGTCCCATATTATTCCTCTTATATGTCCATGACCTACCCGGTCTCAAATTCAGTCAAGTCGCTATGTTCGCAGATGATACGAAAATATTTAAGTCTATCGCATCAATAAACGATACGAAATTACTCCAACAGGACTTATCCAACTTAGAATCCTGGTCTTCGACTTCCGGTCTCCCCTTTAATCAAAGTAAATGTCGGTCGCTGTCTATCACTTGTAAAACGAAGCCAGTGGTGACTACATACTAGAAAATACATGCATGCAAAAAACCCTTGCCTTACTGACAAAACATTATGTTTTCCGAATATGAAGAATTGAAAGTAGTTGTCATGGTAACATGATAATTTTAAGAATAGTTTTGAAATTGAGAAATCCCCCAAAATATCACGTTTAATAACAAAATTATCAATTTCCCAAACATATATATGCTAGGTATGTTATTAAATATAAGCTTCATTTTAATGTAAAATTCAACCACAAATGCTTCACAAAACGTTTTAAAATGTTCTGAAAACTAATCGGCCTTCAAATTTAATAATTTAATCGGTATTCAAATCATTGAGTTTGAAACAAACTGATTTCAAATTCCTCGCATGAAAATAACTTTGCTTTCCTCTTTATTTAAATACTTTAATATACAAAAGAAAGGGTAATTAATAAAACTACACTGCAATTATATGCTGTCTTTTTTCACTTCTATACACAATAATAGTATCACTATAACTATCAGTTCGATATTCGCAGTATCACCCACCACTATCTGTTATAAATATATCAATTATAAAACAAACAATACATCAATATTTAAAACAAACTTACCTTCATTAACGTTGGCGACTTTGCTCTATTCTCTTAGACGTTTTTTGGCTCCCAGAAAGGTTTTGAAATTTACAAAATCTTGCAAAAATACAACTTGCAAGAAATGTTCGTTATTTCGCTGTCGTGAATGCAGTCGTTATAATGCAAATTTCAATTTGACCAATCAGTGTTCACTATTCACGACAGTCCGCTACATATTTTGAGATCGGTGAAGATGACCACCCATTAACGGTGAGCCATGCGCCCACGATATTTGCTGAACTTTAGACTTGGCTAGTGCGTTCCTTTCCCCGGGTGTATTAACGTTGGCTCTAGAAATAACAAAATCGGTATGAGATCTTGACATCTGGATGTCAACTGATCTCACCTGGAATAATCAAGTAGTAGAACAATCTTCCCGTGCTAACAAGTTGCTAGGTTATATCAAACGGAACGCACGGTTCATTCAAAACACCAGCGTGAGGAGGGCATTGTATTTAACATTAGTATGCCCTCACTTAGGATATGCCACCCAGATCTGGTCGCCACAGTCCATCAACCTAATTGCAAGATTGGAAAAAGTTCAAAGACGTGCCACAGAATTTATTCTCAATCTGCCGTTTTCCAGTTAGACAGTTATACCTCGCGATTACAATCCTTACGTTACTGGCATGAGTTTTTAGATTTGGTTTTTTTCTGATAATAATAGAACCTTCTGTAGTACCAAAAACCCAAAGCGCCAGACCGACCAGATCGTCTATAAACACAGACATATCTAAGTTTGTCATTCCCAGGAGCAAAACAACGGATGCATCAGTGCTCGACGCATCAATGCCAATATTCAAACAACCAGGGTGTGAAACAGCCTAGCTGACGAACTGAAACTTAACATGATAAATTTGAACTCATTTAAATCTACTATTCTAAGTTATTACTTCCGTGCTTTGGAAATTTCCTACCATCCTGAAAATCCAAGAACATTCAAAACTATATGTACCAAGTGTAATACTGCTCGAACTCTGCTTCAGCCTCTTAAGAGTGACTCTGTCTATAAAAATCAAGCAAAATCTTCAAATCTTGGCACAAGTGCAGAAATCGGTATTTTGCCTTTTGATAGTCCTTTGATAGCTTCGTGATGTAGTTTGATTTGCAAAAAACACATTCTTTCGTGAGAAAATACGAAAAATTGATTTTACCCTCATACAGCGTCAAAACAATAGAAATAGACATGGTGCAGGTCAGATTTTAAAACTGTTTCAGCACGCCTTAAAACAACAGAAAACTAAGATATTCAAACTCAATTTTAATACAGGTATTAGTACTGAAACGCTGCGAGGTAATTATAGGTTTTTTCATCTATTTTGTGAAAGAGTAAAATTGAATGACGAAAGTGCCTTTTTTGGCACATTCACGGTATCAATTTTATATCCTAAACATAACTGGTTTTTTCGTTATGTGCTATAATACAGATTTCCTTGAAAATTGACGTGTTAACTCTTGAGATGTCCTTAAAGTTATCTAATTTCCGCGTAAACAAAGCTATTTTTAGAACCCTACGGCTGTCACGCCATCTCTTATCAAAATCAAAACTTGGGTTGGAAGATACTTGAATCGTTCCAAAATATAGAAGAAAATAAAATTTTGCAAGTTGGAAAAACACAACTGCCTTAATTGTTTTTAAAACAGAATCTTTCTATTGAACGTAATTTGTCACGATTGAATATATTTTACTATTCGTGGAAATTGCCTTAATTCAATCATATTATCGGTAATAATATTAATTACACTAGAAACAACAACATTACTTAAAGAACTAGGCACCTTTTTAAAATTTAAATTTCATTTAAAATTTTGTATCATGGAAACCAATATTTTTACGGTGCAAAAACTTTCCGGATATGTCAGTGATATCAATAAATTAACTGAGTTTTATTATCCTAGACCTAGACTATAGACTGTCCTAGATGTTGTCGTAAGTCTTGCTATACCAGCTCACATTGCACAAGGGCATTGTCCAACAAAGATAGTAAGTTTGTCTATGTAAAGCTGCTTTAAGTTTGCCTTGATGTCGTTAATGTCAATATCAAAATGAATGCACATTTGTTGCAACATTGGAACTGCGAATCTTTTCATCTTTGAATTGCTAATGAGCTCACACATGTTGTGACGGTCGTAATAAATTGGGTGTTGCAGAGTTACTTCTTGAACTACTAATTCCTGAAGATCTTGAAGGTCTGTCTCATTCTCTGCCTCAAGAGCGTCGTCATCATCCTGCACATTGGGTAGTCTTTTCTTCGATGCCAGACGAGAGAAAAAACTTGACACTTGTTGTGTTGTCAAAAATTCCTCGCTTGTGAACATGCGATCACCGTTGTCATCTTTTGTTGTCATCATAGCCTTCGCTACATCAGCTGGGTTAGCTTTAAAGCCTGTGGTTATGTGCCTCAAGGTACCCTCCGCAAGGATAAATTTGCTATTTGCGATGCAGTGATGTTGTTAAATCAGAAATCTCTAAACTTAAAATAAAGTTTATTTTCATGGCTTCAACCTATGGTGTCAAAACCGATCAGAAATTGCGCGTACTCGCCGTATAAATATGGGTTTTGATTTGCACTTTTGGCTGATTTGCCATCTTGAATTGGCTTCTTGTTGAGATTTCATATCTCAATTGCGTTCGAAATGTTTGGTATTTTAAAGAAGGGGTATTGTGTGGAGAAGGTTTATAATGTAGCGAATAAAACCAGCATGGGATAATTATGGTAAAAGACCAGAAATTGTGCATTGAACTCGTTTATTTAAATGATTTTTAAGTATACCTTTTCTTCAGACATTGACAGCGTGTCAAATGTCTACATATTTGTAATAAACCTATGAAGGATTATTGCGTCTGTCTGTCTTAGGAGTTATATAGTCGAATAATTCAGCATGATTCGTCCCACGTTCTCTTATAAGTTGAATAATATTGCATTAAACGTGGTAAAAGTTGGTGTGCTAACAAAGATTTTGGTGTATTTGCTTGCTAATGTTGCTATATCTCAAACGCTATTTGCCTATTCAAAATATCATATGACACACAATTTTAATTCCACGGCAAAACTACTGTTGTGCAAATAACAAACGCGAGATTAAATATATGGCAGTATTACAGAGCTATGTCTATGAGCTATACAGACTATATGAGAGCTATAATGTTATGGTCTAAAAAGTGAATAAATTAGGTTAATTTACACTATATGGTTTACAGTAACTACAGCGAGTAGTATTAAAATATAGCCAATCGTGACTAAATATGTCATAAAAGCAATTTAGAGGTTTTAAGCC